GGTCTTGGGGAAGCCGATCTGTTCGCAGTAATAGGAAAAGGGGGGGGAAAAACCCTAAATCTCCTTTTCTCCCACCCAGTCCCCCGCGTTTGAAAAAGTATTTTTGCTGTTTATTTGTAGAGGAGCCGCAGAACTCAACTTTCAAGGCAAGAAAGCAACACGAGTGTAACTTCAGGTTGAACAAAGGCAAAACTGGTAATTAGTTGTGGTTAGTTCTGGGGTTTTGTTTGGTTTTGGGCGGTTTTTTAACTTATATATGACCATTCACTTTAAAACACTTTATAGAAGTCCTTAAGCGCGTTAAGTTCTTCTGCAAAAAAGGCCCATCTTTACCATCCCATGCAAGAGATTATTTAAACAGAATTATCTACGTAAGATAAGAGATTCCTTGGGAAAGCTTTTTGTTTGTTTTTTTTATGTCTGTTTGTTTGTTGGTTTTAATCCTTTCCGACGGCATGCCACTAAAACTGAACCCTTAACTTCAGAAAAACTGAACCGGGAAAAACATTATTCCCTCATCTTTTGGTAAATACTCTGCAACAACCCACACTCCTCCTCTCAGACAGGCTTCCTTAGGAAATTTTGTTTTGTTTTCCTAAAAAACATCTTCCACAATTTACATTAAAATCCATTACAGAAAGTACTGCTTTTCCTCTCTGCCTTCCCCAAGAACATCTCTACGAACGGTACAGAAACCTTTTCTTTTTTTTTTCACATTAGCGCTGCAGTTTTCAGCCGATGCGACAAGAGACCGAGTTCCCCAAGTGCCAGCGCCGGCAGCCCCTTCCCGACGGGAGAAGCCGCCGGAGCCTCCATTGAGGATGTTCCCATCGCTTCCTTTGTACGCCTGTGCCTCCTCTGTCGCACATGACCGGGTCCGAACTCTCCCTTCCAGCCCGTCTCCCTCAGGCACCCGCGCCCCTTCGCCCCGCGCGAAAGCGACCGTAAAACAGCGTGTCCTGACCTGAGCGAGGCAAGAGCGGCTGCGGTTCCGTAGGGGCAGCGGGGACCGGCTTCAAATCCTCCTTCAGCTCCAGGACTTTCTGCCAAAAGAGCACTGAGCGCTGTTACTGCGCGCCTGCCCCTCGCTCCCGCCCGATCCCCACCCCCGAGCCCTCAGGGGTGGGAGCGGGGGCTGGGACAGGGGGAGCGGGCGGGTCAGCCTCCCGTTCAGCATCGCCGCCTCTAAGTCCGAGAGAAAGAAAAAAAAGTTGGCGAGGAGCGGCTCCGGGGTGGGCCCTCGGGGCTCCCCTTTCCTCGGTCCCGCGGCGGCGGGGAGACGCGAACAATGCCGGGCCGGGCGGGCGGCCGGGAGTGGATAGGATGGGATGGGATGGGATGGGAGAGGAGCGGGGGGGCGGCCGGGCCGGCAGGAGCGCAGGCACAAAGCGCACACTCACCTGAGGAGCGCGGAGCGGCCGGCGGAGCGGCGAGCGGGGCGGGGGGGCGGCCGGGCAGGAGTTTGGGAGGAAAAGGGAGGGATTTTATTTCCCCTGGAGTTTGAAAGGAGGAAGTGAGGAATGCTAGGAATGAGAGTTGGTATGAAATGAACGCGGCCGAGGGAGGGAGGGGACTGCCGGCTAGCGCAGGGGCTGGGACGGGGCTGGGAGGGGACTGCCGGGGGGCGGGGGGCAGCAGGAGAAGGGCCGAGGCGGAGTTGGGAACAAAACCCAGCGGGGCCGGGCAGTCCCCGGCCGGGGGCTGTGTGTGACCGGGGCGGAGGGAACGCGGGCAATGGCCGGAAGAGGGGCCCGCGGGGGCGGGGGAAGGAAACTCCGGGAGCGGGGGAAGGGGGCGGCTCGGGAGCTCCGGGAGCGGGCGGGACGCGGCCGCCGCCTCCAGGGATCGAGAGCGGGCGCGGCGCCCGGCCGCAGGAGAAGTTGGAGTCTGCGGCCGCGAAGGGCCGACCTCAGCCGGGGGAAGATCCCTGGGAACGCCGCCGCTTGCCTGGTGCTTTCTCCGGGGCGGGACTCCGGCGATGGGCCGAGCGCCCGGTGAGGGGGCTCCGGTGCCGGGGACACTCCCGCCCGCCCGGGCAGGACACGGCTTCCCTGGGTAATCCCTGCGAGCCGGTCCCGGCCCGCCGGCAGCGCTGCTTCCAAGCCCCTTAGAGACGTGCCGTGATTTCCACTCAGCATAGCTGAGCCTCTGCGAAACGAACAATTCAACCCCAACACGGCAGAGTGGTTATCCCAGGCGGCAAACTACTCGCCTAACCAGCAAAGCGATGTCCCCTGGGGGTTTTCTTAGTCTCACGTCGAAGCTGCTCTTTTCCTGTCCGTTCATACAGGAGTGCCAGCGTGCTGCGCTAGAAAATGCTGATACCAGGCTGAGCAAGTTTAGTAAATGTAACTACATCCTAGTAGCACCTCTGGGAACGCAGCTATATCAGCAAAATAAACTTTTCCACGGCTCTAGCAGGTAACTTTTTCAGAGATGCCTGGTGTGCGTGTAACTACCTGCGAAGTTATAACATAGTTGGCTTTCTTTAAAACGTCAGTATATTGTAGAAATGGATTTTAAAAAAAAATCTCAGTTTTTGGTAAGAACCTAAAGCTAAAAAAGTTAATAACTCTTTCAAGTTGCAGAGAAAAGACTGAAATCTAAATGTGGCCTAAGGCCTCAGAAACCAAGTGGCAAACCCCATCAATTTCATAAAAATAAGGTTTTCTGATACATACAATATAAATAAGATGATGTTACGAAATTCAATGAAATTATTTTGTGTGGTTTTTGTTTGTTATATAAAGCCCTGTAATGATTTAGCCACTACTTCTACCATGGCCTATTTAAAAACATGCAGTTTAATAAAAAAAAAAATATGAAAGGTAGTTCACTTCTCATCACACATATTCACTGCAAACTCTAGGCTAGGTCTCGTAATTATGTGACTAACATATTGTTTTGCTCCCATTTCCTTGCCAAATCAACACAGCTCAAAGAGAAGGAATTGAAACCTATTCCTTCCTGTGAATCATCACACAGATTGTTTGCAGGACTCCAGTCAATTGCAGATGGAAATTCACTCAGGAGAATGCAAGTTTTTTAGTGGTGGGTTGATTTTCTTTTTTCTTTTACTGGAGGTAATGTGGAAGCAAACTATTCCCCTTAGAACAGAAAGCAGAGAGCTGGGCAAACTTAAGAAACTTAATTCCCCAAACCTATCTGTATTCTATCTGAATAATTTTGTTATGCAGTTTATAAAATAAAGCCTTTTTTTCCATAGTAAATTAGTATTACTTTTCCTTTAATAAAAGGCTCAATTCAATTAAACATTAAAAAAAAATCCTTTGCTTTCTTCATAATTTTCAGCTGTTTTGTTACAGACAGTGCAACGGTTCGCCTTCTTTGGAAATGTCAATTGAATCAAAGTAAATGATCACAAATTCCAGCCTCTGGAATACATCCACCCATTTATGTAGTCTCTAAATTGAACTTTAAATTACCAGAGCCGGTTATGGTTACCATAGCCTTTACCTTAATGCATTCTGGTGAAGTTAGTTTGCTTCTGGGTTTTTTTCTCCCATTTTGGGACAAAAGAAGTGAATTCCAGCTTCCAGTGAGAAAACAATAATTCTATATAGAACACATTAAGGGATGGAATGAGAAGACAGAAACTCTATAGACTGTACAATTCAAGAGATACAAGAGTTAACAGTGGTACAGGGTCTCCGCCTTCTTTCCTGGCAGGGCTTTCAGCCCCAGGATAGCTTAAGGGTCTTTCTTAGTTCTGAACTAGTTCCAAACTGCAGTTGTGTACAACAGTTTGACACTGTGGCAGAGAACGTGAGATTCCTGACTCTGCCAAAGAAGGAATCTGTCCATAGGTCCATTTCACAAGACTACACACAAACTCTCAGCTCAACTTGTAAATCACAGGGAAGGTTTTGCTTGTCTTCTGTACCAAGAACAGGAAACCTAATTCAATGTCAACTGAGAGATTTAGAGAGCTGTTAATACCAGCGAGTAGAGGAGCACACTAAGTAAAGTATAATATAATAACTTTGCCAACAGTAACAAACCCCTATCCCTACTGCTACCAAATTCAGCAGAACTTCAATGAGAATGAGACACCCCTAAAAGAGCAAGAAATCATTCCCTGTCTTTTATGTTTCTGAACCAAAGAGCCTATAGCAGCCTAGGATCTGTTTCCATCCACTAGGCCTGCCTTTAGGATTCATACTGAACAGTTTAATATGCTTCCATCTTTATTTTAAGATCTCTCTGGGATTTCAAGAATGTTGCATTTGCACGTATACAACTAATATTACTGCTTTAAGAACAAATGCCCAGTAGTATTTCCTGCTTAGTTTCTCTCCCAACTAAGACTGATTTGGGTCAGATCAAAATGATGGGAAAAACAGAGGTGCAGAAATAATAGGACTTACACATTGAGAGCTGTGCCAGTTTCTGATTATCAGATCCACCATATCTCCACTTACTGAAGTTTATACATATCTCAGTAGAAATAGGAAAAAATAACTGCTTTGACTTGACGTTCCTCCGTCCCTTGTATTACTTCAGTTCTTGTTTCGGAAAAAATCTTATTGTACTTCAACACTTGAATGGGTTCAGATGGAAGGTAGGAAAATGCATTAAGAACCATCTCAAATGCTTTCACTGGACACTGGGAAAAACATTAAAAACATGGGGCAGAGAAGTGGAACTAGCTTAGAGAGAGAATCAAATGGAAACCAAGAACTTTAGGGGAAGACCCGGTAACAGGGGAGGGAAGTATTAGAGAGACTAACCTCACATTTATTCCCAGACTTCTAAGTATGGGAAAAAACCAAACACTACAAAGAAAGAAAACTGAGAATTACAAAGGAAAAGAGAGAGTAAGAAGAGAGTTGAGATTCAAGAAGATGGGGAGAAATTGAGGTAGTATCTCATACAGAAGGAACAAAGAAAACCTAGAAGTGACAGCAAAATTCTACAAAAAATAAAATAAATTAAAAAAAAAAACCCAACCCCTCAAAAAACTCATTTAGAATTAAGGATTTTTCAATATATAAATTAGTTTATTTTCATTTAGATATAAAAGTTATAAATACAATTAATGTAAAACAGTATCTGATAAAGAGCACTGAATCTGTTCATCTGTCTGTATAATTTGACTGAGAGGCCCTGACAGGATCATTGATGTCAACAAATAGCTTGAAGAGCCACTTCTGACAGGCCTAATTGAGTAAAGGGATGTTACTGTGGCCTTCTGAGGACACAGAAAATCATCTTGAATTGGAAATAAGCATTCTACCTTCAGGTCATCCCAAAATAACACAAGGCAGTTTCCTTCACACATTCCCAGTCAGAAAAATAATCAGACAGGTACACAAATGGACGTCATTTTTCTGGACGCGTAGCAGGAAGGCAGAACCGTCAGCCAAGACCTCAGAAGAGCACAACTGGAAAGCACTGCCAGGTCTGGTCCCCAGCCTGATGAGCAGGAAGTACACAAAGGCACAGAAGAGATCCATCAGGATTCAAGTTCTCTTCACTGACTGCTTTTCTGATGAGATCATCTCAAGACAATGGCTCACCAGCTAATGCAGAATGGTCATCTGAGAGATACCTGAGATGGACTTCTCAGCATCAATTCATAAGTTACAGTTAAATACAGAGTTTACACATGATTACCATAATTATTTTTTCTGGCAATATCAGAAAACGTCTCCACGAAATTTTGTTAATTTGAAAGAGTGAGTGATATTCACCACTGCAAAGACTCCAGAGACCAAAAGCAATGTATCTGCTCTTTGCAGCTTAGAGTTAGTCTGCTGACAAGGACAATACCCAAAGCTGGAGAACAACTAATTCTTGTCTCAATAAAAGATGGTCTTTTCCAGGACCATTATAAATCTGTGTAATGGTTGTGAAACAGGCAAGATAGCATTGTTCCAAGATGGGATTGTTGCAAGATTGTTCTCTGCTTCAGCAGACAGCAGGTGTGTACACTATGAGGCCTCCATGTCACACTGTGCAGCAATCCACTCTGATGAGTTAAGGCCATATGAATCAAGAGGTGTTCCAAGCTGTGACCTACAGACTCCATATTGTACATCCAGTATTAAAAACAGAACACTCGAAGGACACATTGCAAAGCCTCATGATACAATTCCTTTAAACTTACTGATGCCTTTGAAAATACCTGTAATCTCTTAATGAGGTAACTCCTTCTTATAGTCAGGTTAAAATTATTTATACAAAATCTACTTTAATATGTCATGACTTGAGATAATCTCATATTAAAAAAATGAAATTGGTCACAAACCTATTCCTAGAAACGTAACAAATTTTATGAACAACAGACAATTCAATCACAACACTGCTTTTCAGGAACAGTACTGTATATTGTTACAGTACTACCTTCTGTCAAATTCAGTCAGATTCTATCATCTATTCAGTCTCTTTAACAGAAGCAGCAATGAATACAATATCACCATCTGAAAAGGCAGTGTTTGAGATTTGATTGTTCTTTATTTGGTAAAAAGGTCAAGGGATAGAGAGCAATTAGAATACTGAAAGGGAAATGGATTATCAGCCTTAACAGAGAATCATCTCACAGAGTAAAAGTGTTATATTAGAGCCAATGTCTTATTCCAGCTGTTTCATTTTTTCTGAATTCATCTGATCAGAAACTCATGAGTAGCATCATCTTCCAGGTTTTAAGGAAGTTTCAAGGGATAGGAACACTTAGTCATTATTTTTCTATCCTAGATGCAAGGAGTTCCAATTAGTAGGCTTAACTCACTGTCATGCAGCATCTGTAAATAAAGATTCTGAAAGCAGAATCAACACCAATGACAAAACCATCACCTATATTTCTTGTTCTTCCACAGTACATACAGAGACTGCTCCCAGGATGGTCTACTGCCAACACTCGCAATGCTCTGAGGGCTGGAATGTGCTTTCTAATAAGCCTGTAGAAGTCTGTCCTCCATTTCCCCTCCAATATGCTCTTCATTACTACACCTGGAACTCCTACAAGATGCAAGCATGCGAGTGAGTTCCATGTTTCAAGTCTGTTGTCTCATTCACAGACCAGTTTACTGTCAAAGCTGGAGAGCCCAATAGCAAAGGCCTGAAGAGCACAGAGGGGATAATTATAGTCCAGAGTGAACACATCTTCTGCTACACGACCAAACTGCATCACAATGTAGTCAGCTGGGGAGAAAAGAAAGATTCAGAGATGAACAACTTCACAGTGAAGTGAAAAGAAAAAAAAACAAAAATCAAATAAACAAAAAACTCCAAAACCAAAATAAAATAAAAAACAAACAAAACAAAACAAAAAAACAAACAAAACCACAAACAAACAAAAAAAACCCCCAAAACCCAACCAAACACAACCAACCCAAAAGACCACCACAAATCAAAAAACCCAACCACAAACAAAAACCCACTCGTCTGGCAGTCCCAAATATATTTGGTTGGTGTTTCCATCCTTTCCCACCAGAGTGGCCTTGAAATCTGTTCTTTAGAGTTAGTGTGCTGTTCTAGAGATTACTTTTCTTCTCAGATCCAAAGCTCAAACCACTCTTTTGCTAGGCTGAAAGTGCTGTATTAATCCTTTTCCTTCTCTTCAGGAAGTTTGCATTCGCACCCTCCTTTGCTGCAGCAATGGAGAGCAGTGTCTGCACCCACCCCAGAAAGAAGGAGGCCTTACATAATTTTCTCAACAGCTTGCAAGTCCCCAGTAATCCTGAGCTAAATTCCTTCACCCAGTTTCCCTTCTCCAGGAAGCGTGTCCTATTCCTCCCAACCCTCATGAAATGAATTGGGTTCTCCCTGTTCAAGTAAGTCCCACACACTCTCCATCAGATTCTTACGGTCATTGTCATGGACAATCTGAAAGTTCTTCACTGAGGCCTGAGTGACTCTCCCATGGAAGTTCAAAACATAGGACTGAGTATCATCATTCCAGACTGGAGCCTTGTTGTGCAACTCAATGAGGTTCTCCAAATTTTTGTTTTGCCATTTTGACAGCAGACCCTCATGTTCCTGTTCAGAAGAAAGAAATATATTTATCAGATTCGGAATTGCTCCGCTTTTGAGTATTGCCTCTCGTGTATGCACTGTCACTTGAAGGCCATTCCCTGTTTAATGAAACACAATGACAGCACTTAAACTCAGTCCTACTGAAAATTTCCTGTAAGAACCAGGAAGATACTTTCACAGATTCCCAGTCCAAGCATTTTTTCCACTCAATAGGCTATCACCGTATTTCCATTCCAAAAAAGTAAAAAGAATGAGAGAGAAGGAAATGTGTGTGTACAGGAAAGGGAGCAATTCACAGGTCACAGATGACTGCCATCCTGCTGACAGGAATCCCTTCTGAGTCTCATAAGCTTTCTCTGATCCTGTTGCATCCAGCTTACATTTCTAACATTCTGAACTTTAAAATAAAATAATCTACAACTAACTGCATAGTGCCAGGCCCTGAGGTGATTCAGTACCAAGTCCGAAGGCTGCAGCAGGCTGTAAGGTTAAATCTCATCCTATTGGATCTAACAAGTGATGCACAATATGAAAGAGAGATAAACAAAACAAAGAAGATACAAAAAGGAAGTAAACCAGTCCATTAAATTTGACAAACAATTAATTACAAAGAGGTTGAAGTTGTAGTGAAACATGACGTATAATTTTCGAAGTTCTGCAACAAATAAAATCTGAACTGAAATAATATATACTAAGAGAAAAAAATCCAAGCTGAAATTACTAACAGGAAAAAATGCTCAGAAAACAACCTGTTGCTTAGGTCTGACTGATAGGGCTAGTATTGTGTACAGATTCAATAATGGATTTTTGAGGATAATCTAAATGAAACTTACTGTTTGGTTTAGTTACTTTATATCTTTGAATTTATCTTTATTTACTGTTTTAAGATGCAAAAATGACTGAGTACTGGCACCAACACAGTGCGTTTAGGCACAATTTTTCTTCCTTTGAAGTGGGGGCAGTATTTCTTAGAGGCATTACATTACAGAAAAGGAACGATAAAAACAGAGTCAAACCTCTACACTGAAAGCTTTGCCAGCTTTCCAGAACAGCTTTGTGTTTCAGTCTTGTCCACTGTCAGTATGCTTGTCTGATAGCAAAACAATTGGGAAAACAGGGGAGAAAAATGAAGGCAGGGCGATGGAATCATTACTGTACTGATGGGGGAGATGACAATACCAACTGAAAGACAATGAATAAATGTCCACAAACAGACACAGTTTTCCTGCCCATTTGCAAAATTAAATCTCTTTTCCAGGCTCTCATGAGTCTGAATTTCCATTCTTGAAGATTTTTTTATTCTGATATCAAGAAATTCATTCTTCTCCTACTCATATCTAATCACAACATGGCTACAAACCCCATTTTCTAGCCTAAAATATTGGCCATGTCTTAGCATCTGTTCTTTCTGCCTTTTGTTCTTCTATCACATCAAGCATAAAACCCACATTAAGGGAACCAAATGTTTTTTATCATACACCTTAATATATCTTCAGATACAGTGCTGTAAGCTTTTAGCTATATTGTCCAGCACATGTATGAGAAATACCCACTAAATAGTCATGACAAAACTTCATCTTTCTCATCCTTCTTTCTTCTTAAAGAATCCTCCTTTTCTGTGACTCCTACAAAGAAGCTGACAGCATTCTGATCAAAAACATATTTACTCTCTTGCTATTACACCAGTATCTACCTGTTACCTATCACTTGCAATTCATATCCTGGCCGAGAATGTGAGCTCCTGGGAGAAGCAAGTGTGCCCTGTGTTCATCCAACTCTCAGCATAACAGGGTCCCACCATGAGGACGGCTTGTAAGTGCCAGAGCAACAACATAGAGATAAGTAAATAATATTTAGGCTGACCAAAGGACACGTAAGGATACAAACACTATTCAGAAGGATCCAGATTAGGTAAAAGGCAAGAACGAATTAATCAACACATTTAGGCTACATTGTATTTACTCTCCATGAGACTTACTAAACCCCAGGCTACTAAGAACCTTGCTCTAAACCCTGATTATTAGTAACACTCACAACCTCTACAGGGAAGTTTTAACCTCTTCCTCCAACCTGAAACATGACCAAACTCCATAACTCACATTTCGTGGACGGATTGGAATTCGCTTATGATTCATATTCATTCCTGGAATGATCACAGACATTTTTCTGGGACCCTTGAATCCTAAGATGTTGGTTTCCTGAAAGACAAGGAAAGACATTATTTTCAGTAAATGATATACATCTCAAAGAAGTAAAGACAGCAAAACTGAACTTGTGTCCACATTTTTACTAGTTCTTAGTGTTTTGCTGGCTACAACTGTAGTAGCAGTTAAATAACTCCAACTGTGTTTAATCACTGAGAACTGCTTTCTCTCCCATTTAGAGAACACCATTATAAGACATATATGGTATTAACTAATTTAGAGCAATCTGTTATCCCACTGAAACATTTATAACAAAATCAGACAAGTGCAATTTCCAGGCATAAGTTTTTGCATGTGAGGCAATAATGTGCTGAAATCTTGCTAGTTAATAAGCCGTAAGTATGATAAAAGGCAAATATCTTTGACCTGAGTTTATGTTATCTCTATATTACCAGTTAGTCTAAAATGTTCCTGAACAATAAACAAACATTCTTCTTCTGTGCTGTTATTTGTGTTCAAGAGAATGCCTACAATTTTCTCTTAAATCATGCTGTTTTGTAAATGATTAAGAACAGACCCAGAAATGGAACTATTCAGCATCTATCCAAACTTCAAGTCAAGCAGATTTTTCCAGAGTACTGCAGGAGACTGCTCCAAGTACAAAAAGCAAAGAAAAAAAGACCTGGTATTCTCAAATCCTACACTTAATAATGTCAGTCAAAACCCAATGGTCCATTTAAAGTGTTCAGTAACAATATCAGTGCTAACCTTTAAAATTCCCAAAGACCAATTAAAAAGCCAGAGTCTTTCAGAAGTACCAAACTGATTGATAGAAGTGATACAGCTTCTTCTAACATGTTAGTGCATTTTGCAGACACAGACAAAGGTCTCTGGATTGTACCCTCTATTATTTCACTTCAGAAAATCTAAGGGCACATATAAGAATGAGGGTACTGATTCGATTCATATATAAACTTCACAAACTTCTTGCAGATAAGTTCAAAATTTTGAAAAGTTGACTTAATGTTAACTGCTGTGCTCATTTTAACACCTTGCTGCATTCAACTAGGTAGGGAATTGAAGAATACTGTATACAAAGAAAATATCCAGTAATATTTCCGTAAACTGAACAATACTGCAATTATCACATCAATTCTTTTCCCCCCGAGTGCCATTGAGATCAACAGCAAAAACAAAAATCAAGATAATGCTCCAGTAGGCTAATGCATCTTTAAATTTCTGCTGCCATACCAGTGAGAAAAGTAAAAATCCTTCCACTTGGCAGCCATCATTTTGTAGAGAACCTCAAATTTTACTCAAACTGTAGGACTGGAACATGAAACAATGTAAAATGAGAACCCTCACATAATTCTAGAGTGTCCTCGAGTGTCTCCTCACTCTGAAGCCTTGCCTGAGGTGATTCACAAATTGCAAAGACAATATCTCTAAGACAGAGCTAACAAACTATGATTTCCCTAGAACCACATCCGTATCAACAACAAGCTGCTACAGAAGTAATACCAGCTCTCTCCTATCCTCAAAAGCCTTTGATTCTTCAAAAAATAATTCTACTTCACAGGATACTCCCAGTTCCTTCTCAGTGTCCACCAGACACCAGCTGGGCAAGGGGCAGTTCATGCTGTGGCTGGCTCCATGTAAATGGTACACTGACTGGCCACACACTGAACAACAGGCCAGGTAAGAAGGTCATCAGGATGTTAGTTTGGGTCTTTCTCCCTCCCAGATTTCTGGCACTGATTTTTTTTTTTTTTCATTAAACTCTCAAGAACTTATCTTTGAGGCCTCTGCCCTTTGTTGTATCTGGTTGAAATTGGTCACTTGCTTCCAAAGTTAAGTGGGGGAGGCTGACAGAAGCACAATTTTTAAGTCCCATTTCCTCGGTAACCAGGCACAAAGAAGAAAGGGGAAAAAAGAGAAAGGCAGTACTTACGTAACAAATAGCTGCAAGTTCCTGTCTTGTATGAGCCTTTTCCACTAGACTTTGTGCCTTGATTGGGTTAACTCCATGGTCATAGACTGTAAATTTAGTTCCCATGAGGTTTGACCTAATGTCAGGTTATGGAAAAACAGAGAAAGAGGCATCAGTGGAAAGTTTTGTCCTCTTCTGAAGGTATTGGTACAGCACAGTGAAAACATGTATCTCCTGCCATCTGAATCTTCCTATTGCCAGCTCAGTAAGGAGCTTCCATGCCGTGCCCACAGTGAACTAAGCCTGTAACCTATCCTGGAAAAGCATCTAGACAGAATTTCTTCTCTGAATTGCCACAGTGAATGGTAATGCTGAAGAAGGCTGCTAACCCAAGTGAATACAGATTACATTCAGCAGAACGATGTGAGCTCATTCCCTCTGAATCGATACCAGACTGCCAGCCAAAACCACACCACAAATAAAGTGAAAATCCTATCTCACCTGTCCATAGTTTTCATCAGTGATCCTCACCTGAGTTTTCCAATGAAACTTTCCCCTTTCCGGGATAAATCAGTTGGGTCAACTGATATGAGGTAATTCGATGTTTTGCTCTTCTTTCTTTTTCTCCCTGCAAGAAGGAATGTCTGGAAATACAAAATTTTGATCAAGACTGGTGCTTTGTAAGAATGCACAGGCATTGCTAGGCATTGCTATCCAAACTGTTCTCTCTCCATTTTCCATATCCATTCCCCTTTTTGTTCCATGCCAATATTACTGTCTCCACAATTTTGATCTCTTCCAAAGTGCACACCCTGAAATCCTATTCCTCCAATCAGCTCACTCAGCAGTCTCAATTTAACAGAACTGTCCTTTCTAGTCTTCCCTCCTTTTCTTCTGGAGCAGCTCAGTCTTCTTGCTCCCTTTTTAACATTTAACATTTTTATACTTTTTAAATTTCGTTTTTCATTGTATTATGGCCTTTAAACCTGCTAATTCCCTCTTAGTGCCCTGGCCAAATATAAGCTGTCCTCAACTACACGATGGCTTTCCTCAGCTACTGGTTTCTTACCAGAAGCTCTCCCTTGCACCAAAAATATTATGTGGTAGGAGTATAACAGCCAAGAATGTGTACTGTTTCCAGTACCTTTCTGTTGTCATCCCTTTCCAGATGCATGTAGTAAGTAGGGAAGAGGCCCCGGTCCATTCCCTTCTTATCTCTAGTGATTCGACACTTGACACTAATACCACGGGGTGCAGGACGTAATGCAAAATCCTCCAAGTTCTCTACTTCTCCCAGCTGCGCATCTGCCTGAGGGGAGGGACTGCAGGAAGCACCTGTTTCCTGTGGGAAGAAGCATCATATTAGCAAATTAATATCCGACTAGAGACTCTGGTATTCCCCAAGAAAATAAAAGTTTGTTGAAATACAAGTTATCATACCCAGAAGATACGGGGAAAGGAAGGTTAAGCTACTACCTGTGTTTCTCTGAAGAAAATGGCTGAAGACTTTTACTCTGAGAAAAGACTAACCCTCCAAGGGGAATGGAGAAAAGTACCTGTTAACCAGACATAAGTGAATTTCTAGGAAGGGGAGGACAGGGTGAGATGCTGTAAATATTCTAAGCAAAGAGCCTCTCTGCTTTTAGAACTTCAGACTCTGGAAAATAACGCAGTACGATAAAAGCTGGACTGATGGATGCTGCAGTAAGACAGGCTGGAATTTCTGTGACTAAAATGAGCACGGAGATTATGTTGGTTCAGAACAGTAGTAGAAATGGAGTAAGCTGCTGGTGGAACCATATCAACTAAATGTTGGAAGAGCCTTAGAACAATGTGTACAGTGAGGATGCAAGCTATGATCACCAAAGGAATTGAAATTCTAATGAAAATCTGGTACAGGTCATTAAAGTAATTTTTTCTTTAGGTAGCTGGATCTTGTGAATTGTAGCACCCAAGAGATTCCTCCTTTACTGGGCCTTGGAGATGAAGTTGCACCTTTATCCCTGTTTCTAGCTACAGCCAGAAGGAAGCCTGAGTCGATAAGCACAGACACATGCACATGGACTTGAAATTCACTAGTGGTTCTCACCCTCTCCCACCTCCAGCACCCACCCCCCGTATTTCCAGCGGTTTGCACCCACAGCCCAGTCTCCCAATTATCTGACACCCTAAACACTTGTACTACTCCCCCACTAGTGTAACACAGCAAATACATAGTCACCTCGTAAATATACTCAAAGAGGTCTTTCCAATAGTACCATGGACTTTCAAGGGTGTCCAGCATTCATGCCCAAACCTTTATCTGGTCTGAGTTAGCTCAGACCCTGGACCTTCCTCACACTGGTCTCTTCCAACTCACTGGTTAGTACAGCATATAATTTGTCAACATACGTATGTATATATACCTCACACACACACACACAAGAAATAGTTAGAAATGGAATCTTAGAAGATAGTGGGACACACTGTCATAATCAGGCACAAGACTTGGGCAGACAAGCACATTGTCTTGCAGCTGTTTACATGCATCTGATGCCTTTTACACCCTTTAATCCCTGTTTTCCCATGCTTATTACTCCCTGATCCACCTCGACACCTCTCTTTTCCCTCTTAAGTTCCTTTCCCTAAACACTCCTTAAAAAGTTTGTCCAGTCCTACCACTCTGTTCAATCCCAAAATTCTGTTCCCCCTTGCATCCAACAATAAATGCTACCATCCTTCAGAAAATGATCCCTTTTAAGTTTGCGTGGCATTTTAGAGCTTCTCTGAGTCATTTTGGTGGATTTTGCACCAGAGACAATGGCCCAATCTGTCTCCTTTGAGGGTCATAGTGCTGATTCACTGTGTTCCCATCTTCACTGATTAGAGAAGAATTTGGGATTCTCCACCCACTATTGTTCCTTTGATCACTGCTAGGTCTTTGTGTTTAACTCAACAGCCCTTCAGTCAGATAGCCTAACAATCACTACCTTCCTCTGCTTTCAGGGATTAATATGCTGGTTACCATAGCTGCAACTACTGTATTTTAACCCATTGATCAAGGGGTTAGTACTAAAACCAAGCATGTGCCCAGCGCTTATTAGAAATGGATTTCAAGACACGTACTGTGAAAGATTTCTCACTGGATGCAGAACTAGGCCTCTCAGATTCAGGGTGTGGTGAATGAGATGCTGGTTTTTTACTAGCTTCTTCCTCTTCTGTGTCCTCCTCATCAAAATTCAGACTGTCTGAAATTCCTGTCAAAATACAAGATCAAGCATGTAATCTCTGAAAGAAGGTTCATGGCACCACTAATTCATATATGACTCTTGAATAGCTATTCACTCTTTTAATTAATTTCTGTTGTTTCAACTGTTGATTTTCTTCATGTGCTATATTGCTTCCTGAGCCTTGTAATTCAAATCCATAGTGACATTTTGCAGCTGTCACTGTGAAGATGATTGAGCAGCTGTCAGGCCTTTAATAATACATATTTCACATGATATTACATGATGTAACATATTGCTTTAGTACATGTTGTCATTAAATTGATTTTGCCTATTTTCATGCAAAGGAGTCCTCCATGTCTTAAGAACAATAAAAAAAAAAGTAAATCCAGATCAGTATGCTGACACCTATCCTGTAAATTAGACTCTGTACAGTTTACATCCTCTATTATTTCCCCTTAGTCTTATATACAATGAAATGGAGTATATTAATTTTTCAGTAACAGCTCCTCTTGTTCTTACATCAGTACCAATATAACTCAGGTCTCATGAACAATATTAACAAATTGATTTTTAAAATAGAAGCACAAACTAAGTAGTTCCAGGACTTATTAATGAAATCTTAACCTAAGCACAGTTACATAGAGTTGACTGTAGGTATATAACTAAAATAACTCTGGATTTATTACAGCATTTATAAAGAGCTTCTGTACATATCACTGGTGTTTCCTTCCACTTGGAACTGCACCATTTTGTTCTTTTATTCCATTATTTAATTTGGCTGTAGAATGGAAAAGCACATAAAGCATCACAGAAAATGAACACATTCGGTCTGCTAAGCTGACTTATTTTCTGAGAGACGATGTTATAACAGTGCTTCAACATGGCACTGCATAGAAGGAGCACTGCTGGAAGTCTCAGATAAAACAGAAAAATCTAGTCTTAACAACCTGTCAGTAAACTTCCCAAAGGACGTTTGGGAAGAGGAAAGGCGTTAACCCTAGTACTCCAGCCAATTTCAAAATTCACTGTTTATATTCTACCTCCACTAGTTTCCCTTGAAGTTACTGGATATTCTCTTCTGCTTCCTTTCCTAACTCTTGTGTAATGTTGTTATCCATAGGTAAGCAGCTGTGGCATCTGACAACTGGATGGGAGTACTATATACGGTAGTATCTCAATACATAAAGTGTATTGGAAACATTCTGGGAGACAAGCTCTGCAAAACAAAAACAAGCTGGGTACTGTATTAAATGCTAGCCAATGTTTTGCTGCAAAGTGGTTAGGCTGCATACAACAAAAAAAGGCTTCCTGTAGTACTGGCAGCAACTTAAGATACTCGGCAGACAGAGCTTGACACTCCACTAGGAAATTACTTAATGGGATATAACTACGTTATAGATTATAAACCTGAGAGGTGAATTTTTCTTTCCCTGCTTCGCTGTAAGAAAAACAAAGTTTGGAATGGGAAGGGGGAAGGGGAGGTTATGAGCTTTACAAAAGGGATAGCCAGCAGAGTTGCATTCCTAGCTAATGGCCCATTCAAAGGCTGGAGTTTGAGATTTTGGGGGTAGTTGGCCGCTCTTAGGGAGGAGAGGTCAGACGGCTAAGTTCTCTCGCCGGGACGGAGACAGGGACTGCGTCCAGGCATTTCTGGAGGAAAAGCCTGGGAGCCAGTCTTTCTGGTTCTTTCGTCCTGGTGAGGCCTGACCACTGGCCTTGCCCCGCCACTGCCTCGCGACTCCAGCCGGGACCTACTGGGTTTTTCATCGGAGAGGTCTGCGCTTGCTGGGAGAGAAGGGGAGAGCCTCGGAACACCCTCAGCCCAGAACAACCGCCCCCTCCTCGTGTGGGACAGAGCCCAACAGCGCCCCCTGCCGGCCACCACAGAGCACTGCAGGGACTGCACCTCCAGAGCCAACAGCGCCCCCTGCCGGCCACGATCAGGACTGTGCTAAAGGACAGAGAAGTATTCATTCAGGGGGTTTTGTTGTTGTTGGGTTTTTTTCCTTTAGTTTGAAGGGGACTTTTGGGTACAGGACTACTGCCTAGTTTTTTCTGTGTTCTGTTACTGGTTTTGCCAACGTACATATATCTTTTAATAAAGGGTTGTTATTTCTTCTGTTTTTTCCACACTTCCTCGATTAAAGTCCCTTAATTTTGAATTTACAATTGCTGAGAGAGAGAAGTTTGGTCTATCTCATAACTCATTCTCTTTAGCAAACATTCCAGTCTCTTCATACTGAGACATTTTTCACGCCCAACACGGGGCCTGGAAAGAGGAAAGGTGGAAAAAGAATAACTACCCTTTGTGTGAGTTACGCGTATTTTGAACCCCTTGGTGATTGACACGCGTTTTGAACCTGTAGGCACCATGATGTTAGGGGTTGTTGCTTTCCTCTGGTATATAACCATGCCAAGGTATCTGTCCCACCTGTCAATGTGTTTCAGTTCAGATACTAGTACTCTCATTGCGATAAGTACCTTTGAGTTTGTGCATTGGGTTTATGATACGGCAAATTCAGCACCTGTGATTTTCATCCGGAATATGTCCTCAAGGATGCACTACTGTTCTAGCCTAAGCTGTTTCCTCTGGGGTTTTAAGGATAATAGCACCCATTCCTATGGAGACACACAGGGGAATGTATTCGCCCAACCCTTTATTCAGTTTCCTTTTGGATACAATACAATGGCCTCTGGGAAGTTCAAATCCTCTTTAGATGTCAGAGACATTTTACTTGTTGGGCTCTCTATCCTAGTTTGTGCCATTATAGTATACCTAATATACACAGCCAAGGCCAAGAATTACCAAGAAGGCATCCAGGAGCCCGCCCCAGGGGTGGAAAACCTTGAGTGGCATGGGTTATGGGAGGACATGGGTAAATTCTTAGAAAGTTGCTCAGCTCCCATAACATGGAAGCTCACCCTTGAACAACTCCTGAACCCTACAAAAATAATGAAAGCCGTGAGGGAGAGAGGCCGTGATGGATCCACAGAGAGGCAGTTGGCAGCTGCATGTGGGGCTTTGGCCATTGCCTACAGGAAGTTGCTCGGTATGGTGCAGCACTTCCAGGGGAAAGGAAAAGATGAAAACAAAATGCCTAATACCAAGGTGACTCAGGATAAGGCCAAATCAAAGGGGCAGACCAAGCCAACAGAGGTTGTCCCCATCCAGAAGAAGAAATATAAAGCCAAATCAGTTCACCCAGTTGACAATGACGGGGAGGCAGGACCCTCACAGGCGACTGCTCCAGAGCCAGAAATCATCACTGAGTCTTTATCGTATAACAGCCTCCGGAACTTACGGACAGACGTTGCTCGTCGTCCGAATGAGCCCGTTCTGGCCTGGATGATCCGAGTTTGGGACTCTACAGGTGATGCCATAAACCTTGATGGCAGTGAAGCGAGGTTCTTGAGGTCCATTGCCCAGGATGTGGGTATTGAGGAGGCGTTTGTGAGGGAATCGAAGTCCCTGTCCCTCTGGGCACGGCTTGTGGATGGTGTGAGGGAGAGGTTCAGCTACAGAGATTCCTTGCAGGCAGATCATTATACCACAGGCTGGAAGACCATAGAAGAAGGGATCCTACGTCTGAGGGAAATGGCACTGCTGGAAGTATTATTTGGAGGGGATGGGCAACCTACCAATGATCCTGACAAGGTTAAGTGTACACCACAGATGTGGTGGAGCTTCACACGTATGGGGCCGTCCACACATAAAGGTTACCTGACATCATTGCAGGCTGGGGAGAAGCGGGAGCCAGTGATGTCTGTAATAAACAAACTTCAGTTGTACAACAGTATGATGGAAGGACCACTACAGGCCTGCATCTCCACTGTAGAGACAATGATTAATGAGCTCAAGGAATTAACTACAGAGTTGAAAGAGAGGATTGAGGGAAACAATTTCCACAAGGTCCCAGTGATTCACATGAGGGGTATATTAGGTAAAAAGGTTTGGATTAACCCCGCCTCGAGCAAAAGCAAACCCATTCATGGGATTGTTTTTGCCCAAGGGACCGGTTGCACCTGGTGGGTGATGCAGGAAGATGGAGAAACCCGGTGTATACCTCAAGGAGACCTTATTTTCGGGTGAACTGGCTGTACCTGTGTATTTGCATCTGTATGTAACTCTGTATCTGTATCTGTATTTGTATCTACCTATTAGTAGATGTATACACAGTTAGAATAATGCATGTATGTATGAAGTTCAAAGACTTAATCTGATAAAGTGTGAAAGCATGGGAAAGAAAAATTAGGGGTGGATAATGTTACAGGTTATAAATCTGAGAGGTGAATTTTTCTTTCCCTGCTTCACTGTAAGAAAAACAGAGTTTGGAATGGGAAGGGGAAGTTATGAGCTTTACAAAAGGGATAGCCAGCAGAGCTGCATTTCTAGCTAATGGCCCATTCAAAGGCTGGAGTTTGAGATTTTGGGGGTAGCTGGCCGCTCTTAGGGAGGAGAGGTCAGATGGAGGGAGGAGACGTCACATGGAGGGAGGAGAGACAGGGACTGTGTCCAGGCATTTCTGGAGGAAAAGCCTGGGAGCCAGTCTTTCTGGTTCTTTCGTCCTGGTGAGGCCTGACCACTGGCCTTGCCCCGCCACTGCCTCGCGACTCCAGCTGGGACCTACTGGTTTTTTATCGGAGAGGTCTGTGCTTGCTGGGAGAGAAGGGGAGAGCCTCGGAACACCCTCAGCCCAGAACAACCGCCCCCTCCTCGTGTGGGACAGGGCCCAACAGCGCCCCCTGGCGGCCACCACAGAGAACTGCAGGGACTGCACCTCCAGAGAGCCAACAGCGCCCCCTGCCGGCCATGACTAGGACTGCGCTAAAGGACAGAGAAGTATTCATTCAGGGGTTTTGTTGTTGTTGTTTTCCTTTAGTTTGAAGGGGACTTTTGGGTACAGGACTACTGTCTAGTTTTTTCTGTGTTCTGTTACTGGTTTTGCCAACATACATATATCTTTTAATAAAGGGTTGTTATTTCTTCTGTTTTTTCCACACTTCCTCGATTAAAGTCCCTTAATTTTGAATTTACAATTGCTGAGAGAGAGAAAAGTTTGGTCTATCTCATAACTCATCCTCTTTAGCAAACATTCCAGTCTCTTCAGACTGAGACAAGCTATTGAATATAAAACTCTAAAACCCTTGATTGTGACAACCTCTGTCTCAGAAAAAACACCTTTTCTGTTAGTGTCCTAAAGAATTAAATTACAGCATTTACTGGCTATAGATAGTTCTGCTGTTGTGAAAGTATTCAAGCATCTTATCCAGATATAACATATCTGGAATAAAAATATCCCAAATTTTAGCAAAATCTAAAGTATAGCATTTTGTCAGCAACTTCCTTGGAAAGGCCAGAAATTATACAGCACACTGTTAAACTCTGAAACATAAATGGTATATTCCAATTCATGTCACAAGAAGGAACTACAGTACTGCATTTCCACATGTAGAATGTACTAGCTGTGCATTTAAAAGTGATATCCTATGGACGCTTACTTCATGATTCCTCATATTTTTTAGGTTTCTTAATGATACTGAAAAACATCATAAAAGTAAAAGAGTCCTGAAAAGACATTTGCCAATTATTAACTCTTACCTCGTTTCTGTAAGATTTCTTGCAGATCTGGCTTGCCTGTTGTGTCTGTTAGAGCCTCTCCATCATTTTCCTTATCTACATTTTCTTCTGTTTCAGTAGATCCAGCAGAGAGACCTTGAAGCTTGGTCCCCAAATCTTGTACTTCTGATTTCAGGAAAGCAGCTGGTCCATCAATGCCTGTAGGCCAAAATGAAACAGAAATATAAAAATTAATTTTTATAGCTAAGGATGCATCCCAGGATCATGGTTCTTTTCACCTTCCCCTGCTAAAACATCCCTTTAAAGTACTGAACTATATTTGTTCAATTTTTGTAAGAAGACTTGGGAGGAGTCAGGCCTAACTCTGGTACAGACTGCCTATTACTTTAAACACACCAAGCATCAGTTTCTCCCTATATAAATAGAATGGTTGTATCTACCTTTTTCTGAGGGCTAAAACAATTAAAACAAGTTGTATTTATCATGCACATTGCTACCCTTCAATTTATTTACAGGCAACTACTCTATTTTCTTTTCCTTCACATTCATTGTTTGCTCCTGTGCCAGTAAGTGAGGGCTCCACAGTGAACGTCACAAATCAATTTGATAAAAATATTTACAACCACAGGCAGAAAAAACTGTAAATGGACGCCCCTTATCTTTTTGTTAGAAATGAAATTTCCATGTTTGAACATGCAACAGAGCTGTGCACCACACTTTGTAACTGCTGGAGACATCTTGATGGCAGGGTCTGGCATAATACTTAATATGCATTTGTGTAGCACACAATATGTAAGTTCCAGCTTTGGATTTTTTACTTTCCTACTGTTTTCCTTCTTAAAACTTTACTGCTTTATCTAGTCATCATATTTCTGACATGTTTACTCCTGTTATCTCTTCTTAACAGTATTTGTTTGCAATGAAGAAGCCTCAGAACTACTGAAGCTAGTAAGTGAGCAGTTAGTTTTCATTTCAGTATTACCAAACATTCCTACCTTAGAAGTTATATCAATCTTTTCTCTCACTCTCTTTTTGACTTGAAAGCGTCCTTTAATACAAGCTTTCTTATACTTGATTTTAAACACATAAATGCTACTATCCATATCACCACTTTCCTCCCCATCCTATGATTCTGAAAGACATCTGGAGAATGAGAAAAATATTCAAGAGAGAGAGGACAGCATAGTTCCAAATGTGATCTTCAAAGCCAGTAATACTGGTTTGTTTGGGTCTTTAAAATTCTACTCTGCATATTAATTTGTTATTATTACAATGTTTGCATTATAAAATCCTGCAATAGCATGCATCTCAAAGACTTAGAATGTTTCCTGTTACTTTTTTGATAGGCTGATGGGATTCTGGCTCTCATAAACAATTTCCTGACATTTCCACTGAAGTGTAAGGATTTCATTGCTGCTCTTTTTTCCTCCCTGTGACAAGGGAGTCTTAAGGCTCTCAATACTGTATTTCTTTCTACTTCTAAAAGAATGGTGATTATTTTACTGTAATTTTTTACTGTTTTGAGACCACCAAGTTATTGCCTTTGGCCCTGATACCACTTTGTGCTTTTGACTTTGTGGACCACTATAGCTTGTTTGTCATGTTTCAGTTGTCTCACTGAAGCCCACAGAGAACCCACTAAGAACCTAATTCAGTATTTATAACACTTTTTTTTTGCTTTTCTCTATCATTCAGTCATATGCAATCTTGAGACAGAGTATGCCATGACAACATAAGGAAAAGTACAAGCAGTCACTATTGAATTATTTTCTTTTCTTTGTCCTACAGCTTCAAAAGATTTTTTCTTAATTTGGATTTGTATCTCCCTACCTTTTTAGACATTCCTAGCTCATTTCTACAGTTCTTCTAGCCTAACACAAGGGAAAGATTACTCAAGGGCACATGAAGATTTCCAGCTGTCAGAAAAATTCACGGTGAGGTTTTTGTTTGCTTTTGCAGTTTAGTCTTGCTCAACCATACTGTACTAGAATTCTACTTCTGTACATAGAAAGTTATGTAATCAATTTTGTTTATCACTTGGCCACTGCCACAGCAACGTAGGTGCCCATCTGTGACATATAATGCACGTACTGGCACTCTGGGGAACATTGTTGCAATTAGGTTGATTACTCACCCTGTAAAACAACATCACTGTGGACAGGGGTAGGAGTTTCTACTAAAGGAGTCTGCTCCTCACACCCTCTGGGCTTTGACCTGCGCAGCTTTGCCTCAGGATTTGGCTGTACCATCAATGGATCAAGACGTTTCTTCCTCTGCTTCTTCTCTAGAAGAGCTCTCTGTGGATTTAAGAAAAGCATGAAAGAGACGAGTAAACACATCTAGAGTGGCAGAAAACATGCCTCAGCCCTTGGCAATAACATGCCAAGACATTCTGACTGACCAGAATCTCAAACAAACCTGAAATATTCTTGTAATCTCTTACAAAAATCCTAGACACAGGTATCACTGTGTCTTCGGAGTGAGATATTGCCTGTGATTCTCCATGAGAAGTTGATGGGGGACATGGACACCTGTGTATTTTTGATCTATCCTGAGACCACCAGCAGATAATGTGAAATCCTTTCATTCACCCTAAAATCCAGCAACCCTTAATACAAATAGATAAATTCAGCAGTCATTTATAGTCCAATATGAAACAGTCAGCACTTGCAAAGGAAAAGGTTTTTGTCTCAAAACTTATCATCTTACAGGGAGAACTTAAATAGTTCCCAGAAACCAATGTTGAGAGATAAGACTTAAAGTGGGCAAACAAATAAACAACAATAATTAAAATAGGAATGATCCACTAAAAGGAAAATTGATCTACCTTGCTAAACTTTTGCATGTAATTCAGGACTGAAAGCAGAGTGGTAAACGCACATGTTAAAAAAAATTCCAAGATACACATACATTTGATATTTATAATTTCCTACTAAACAAGAATAGAAACAACTTCTAGGCTTAAATCAAGGCAAATGGGGACATTGTACCATTTTAAAGACAGACATGCCTAATCCTTAAAGCCTAAGGTAATGCATGAAGAATGAAAAATCATATTTTAATATTCTGCACTATTATGCAAACAATATGCAAGCTCCTTAGTGTAGATGGAGTTTATTGACGGCTGCTTCTTCTGTACCTGAGCACCTCTGGAAGTTGTTTTTGATGACAGAAACCATTTCTCCATCAAATTATTTGGAGTCTTGATGGACCCACCAGATACACAGAACCAACAATTCAATCCACTTGAGACACAGACTTTGGTGCCCTTTCCTCTCCCGTTATTTTTTTCTCTTGTTAGTTCTTCTCTCTCCTATTAGGCTTTTTATCTCAAATGAGATCAGTTTCTCAGGCAACCTCTCCCTGAGGAATTCCAGCATAACTCAGCCCTTGGTTCTTTATTCTTTCTGCTTTTTTCAGTTATCTGAAAAAAAACCAAAACCAACCACCCCCCCAAGAAAAAAAAAAAAAAAACCAAACAGAAAACAAACAACACCCAAAACCCAAACAAAACCAAACATACAAAAACCTCAAACAAACAAACAAACAAATTTACTTTTTTTTTTCCTTTAAACTCAGAATAACACTCTGAGGACTGGTAGTGTTTGCTATTGGAGAATTATTTGCAATAATTCCTGCAGAGCAAGAATTACATAGAATTCCAAAGAGATTATCACATTGGTCTAGAATGAGTGAAGAAAAATAAGCAGTAAAATCAGTTTCTTAGAAACTGCTAATTGTGGATATGTTCTCTAGAAAGGTAGTCAAACCTTCCAGAAGAATTTACATTGGCTTGTATTCTTTATTTTTTAAATTAATGCTGAGGAAAAGTAAAAAAATATCATGATAGTTTATAAATCTCTAAAGGAGAGAGGAAAAACAAGAATCAGAACATTATACTCAGAATAAGGATTTGAGAATTGTTGTCAAGACTTCTCCACCTGACAAGTAGACAGGCAAGACAAAAAACCCAACAGACACACCCTAAAGGCAGTAAAAAAATAAGAAAATGCACAGCTACTGCTAGAATGCAAAACTGAATTTGAGATCAACATAGAATATAATAGCTTTAAGACTTACTTAATGGATTATTCTATTACATAAGCTTTTTTAAACATTTCATCAGTTTATATTAAAACATCATTTTATATTAAAACATAGTTTACTGCTGGTAGATGTGACCAACCTTCTTCTTGCAAGAATTTCAGAATAATCAAAGTGACAAAATCTGATAGTAATTTAATTTATTTTAAAAGGGCTTCTCTCTAATACTTTGCTTACTGAGAAGGAAAAAACATCTGCAAGTCCACTGACAGGACAGTAAATAGCAGTTCATTTTCTCTCCATACGGTGGCAGCCTGCTCTTCAGTACCATGTATTCCGGGCCTTATTCCACTACAGAAGCAGAAAAAAGGAAACTGTATTTTGTTTCGTTTTGCCTACTAAGTAGCCTTTTCCTCCAGCTCTGTGTTACAGCAAAAATTCATATAATATTACAACATAAAATTTAGATAGTTCATGAAATGGACACCAAAACACATAATCCATTAATTAAGTAACAGATACAGATTATGATGATTTGTTCAGCATTTTGTGAACTCCATGCATCAAATACTTTCAGAAACGTTTTCTTTGCACGGCAGAAAACAGTAACATCAGAACATAGGACAATTAAAAGATTACAAACCACCAACTCCTAATGAGTTTCCAACAAGTCAAGAAGTCAGATGAATATATCCTAGCAAACTAGCAAGACAACTAGTTTAGTATTCTGTCTACAATTGTGATGATGGGAAGATGGTATACAGGAAGGTTCCAACTACACCATCAAAGGTGCAATTATTTGGCATGGTCCTAACCTTAGCAGGCTAGAGAGGATGGATCCTAGCTTGGAAACATCCTCTCCACTCTTCCAGCTCCTCCTCAGCTCATGCTGGGGCAGCAGTGGCAATGCTAGTGATGGTGGCATTAATGAAACTTCATGTCAAGAGTAATGCACCACACCAGGTGCATTCAGAAACGTGTCAGGCTCCGTGCTCTCCAGGCACAGGGAGATGGCAGCACTGCACTTGGAGCTGCAGGCACCTCATGTGCTCAGGCACATGAAAACCTTCTACTAATGAGGGACTAAGCACTGACTGAGCAACCACGTGCTCTTGCCTCAAGTCCAGGAGAAAAAAGCATCCTGGCAGGCAGAGCTGGCCCACAGATGGAACTTGATGTCATGCCCTATTATAAATAATATTTTACTGCAATTACAGGGTTCCCAAACCCATTATAAAGATGGATGACAGGCATATGTCTGTGCTGTGGCAAATGCTTATTCCAGGTTCTCTGTCTGACCAAAGATTTTATACATGGCTGGATTAAAACATCTTGCATTTATTTTATCCCAATTCCTATAAATGTTTATGACAAATTAATCAACCAGGGCATCAGCTACAACCAGCAATGAGTCCCTCATATCTGGTAGTGACTTCTCTTTCTTCAGAGGCCATAGTACTATTCATGTACAAGTCGACTTTAAAAGTAATATTCAATCCCAATTATATAATCATAAATTAGAGAGTGTTAGCATTTCTCAACAAGTCTCATTTGCAAGGGGCAGAGGGGGTGTTAAAACCTATTTCAGAGATATTGTCTAGCTGTTGGTTTTGCAGATGATTGCAATCTCAACCAAATCCAAGAAAGATGGAAACAAAATTGCAAAAGGGAATGCATAATTCAAACTGAACTCTTCATGATTTTAACTGACAGCTGCTCTGAAGGAATTCCACCCAGCTCAGCAGCTTTGTTTGGTGGAACAGCCATCCATCCCCATGGCAAGGTCTGACACTAAGCATACATTGATCACAGTGCCTAGCACTAGAAGTGATTACTACCAGCTTATGACCCAAGATTGCAGTCCTAAAATAGACCCTGAGGTTCATCACCAAGTATCCAGACCTTCCTTAGTTTTGGAACATCTTACCAAGTACCAGTTGTCACTAAATGCTCCTTTACTGATTACTTGAACTAATGTTTTCTATTTTTTAATTATTTGTTTTTAAACAAGTGTTACTTGATAGTCTACATGTAAAGGACTATCCTAGCTTCCACAAATATGACCAAAGATAAATTTTACCCCTTGACTGAAGTGTTTTAGGTAAGAGCCTATAAAAACACAGATAAAGTTGGTGATAAATTCACTGTCTGAAGTCAAAGCTAAGAAAACTCAGACTACAAATAATGCATAGGTTCTGGTAAAGAGGATTATTATCCATTGCAAGAGTACCCTGAAGACTGTTGTGTCTGGATTTAAAGATCCTCAGCTGAGAAAAGGCCTTTCTAAAAACCATACTTTAATTTGAACAAGATGAATTTAATGTAAGACAGTGATTTGTGGTCCATATGAAATGGTCAGTTAGAGAATCTTCTAATCTATTTATAAGCATTTGAAATTTCACAGAGAAAGAATATTAAGGATGGATACTTCATTGCTTTGAAGAACATGGTGATGTAAACATCCAGCAAACAGCACTTCAAAAACTGAGACCTATAACCTAACATCTGCCCCATGCTTGGCTGTAAATATTTTCTCTGTAGGAAACAAAAAAAGGTCAAAAGGTGCTGGAAATCTTTCTCAACAGCAGTGTTAAGGAGATTTTTCTGTAGGTCGAGGAAACTTTTTCTTTTGCTCTGATGCTTAAAATCAATAATTTCCTGCAGTCTCCCTATCTTTCGATTCATTCCCTGCATTCTGGTGACTCAATTGCAATGAAATGAGAGGACATATGAAAAATGAATGTATCAAATACATCAAATCTACAAGCCATGGCAAGGTTGACTTAAACTAAAGAACACCATGAAAATCTTCAAAGAAAAATATTAGCAAGTTGGTATTTAGACCAATCATTTTTAGTACTTCATCTCCATTTCTCAAGTCTCTAGATGGCTGTTTGTTTTCCTGTACTTATTTTTACCAGCTTCAGTACTACCATTTACCTGATTCTGTAGTTTCAGCTGTCGTAGCTTCATGCTTTCATCCTCAAAGATGCTGGGAAAGGGAAAGAAACAAATTCATTAATTATTGCTATTAAACGGTTTCCATTACAAGAGCACAAGATATTCTCAGACTGCAACTTCGCCATCAAGGCTTAAAAACAACTGTTAGACATTACTTCTATCCCACTAAAAGACCAAGATACAAGGAATTAAAAATAAAACATACTTTGTATTCTGTCAGAAATATGACAAAAACTGTAGCTGAATCCCCTTAGTAAACTGCTCTGAAAACATTTTGTAAGCACTAAAGGCTTCATTATTGGTAGATGAGTTATGACCCACTATTGAGGTGGGGCTATGAGACAATTTATACCTGAAGGTTTAACACAGTTCAAACTGATTCAGTAAAGTCCCGTCACAAGACACCCAATTCTAAATTAACTCAGTTCTCTCTTGGAGTTAAACCTACATAATTTTCTCTTCCTATTAGACTTTCCAAAACTACTGCTAATACCTGAGAGAATCTGTATTTGCAACATCCGATATTAATTCTTAGAGATAAAATATCATTATTTCACTATTTTGTTGTTTTATAGGTAATTTTCATAAGAACTCTACCTTTTCATTCTAAGTTGTGTTCCATACAGACTTCCCATTTCCTTTTGTATGATAATGGATTATTACATAAAGTGCAATTTAGAGCAGCTAACCCTACATAGGGGAAATGTTAATTGACAATTAAGCACATATTCTGCCTATCACAGTTGTGCACTTCCTCCAACACAGCTTTGACAAAGACCTCTCTGGAAATGAGAAAGCATCAGGAAATGGACAAATGTTATATATTTTATTAATAGCACATAGAAAAGCAGGGCAAGCCAAAATTTCTGTTTAAACAGGAAATTCTGTCTGGTTTAGGTATCCATAAATGTCCAAGGATGTGAAGCCACAAGCTGGCAGACAGCACTGAATATAATCCTAACAAGGAAAACCAGAGAGACATCAAGAGATAGGGAGAGAGGAGGGTGAGGTTTCTGCAAAACACATGCCATGGAAATTGGATTACAGCACATAGAGCTAAAGAGTAAAAAAGGCCTGAGTCCCCCTAGCCTATAGTAAACCCACATTTGTCTCAGCTTCCAGGCAAGCAGATGACAGATCAGAGGCTCTTAGAGACAGCCTACCCTGGCCAACACAGGCCCTGCTCTGGAAGGTGGAATTATGCAGAGAAAGAGTTCTATGTACACATCATATATAACAACTTATCTAAAATTTATACTAGTTCTTGAACTAATAGTATTTTAAAGCAAGCTATGACTGCCTTTTTTTTTTTATACACTTTGCACTTTTCGTCATTTCCGAACTTTTTTTTTTCTAATGTATTTGAACTACCATCACACAACAGGTCTAGGACCTTGAAAATATCTTGTTTCTGAAAACTGATGTTACTCTTTATTTGGATCTTCAATACATAGTATCTTGGATTCAAAGGCAATGGAGGGCCTGGAAAAATTAGTGTCTTTCTTGAAGAGGAATGGAGAGCTGTTGCACATCCCCAAAACAACAGTTACAGTAATACACTTGTCTTCCCTTGAAAACAGCCACAACTTAAGAAAGAAACAAGTAGAAGCTACTGAGTGCAGCAAGATATACAATAGTTACTGCATGATACTTCAGCATATTTATTATTTATAGCACAGGTGATGGAAAAGGCCATCTTTAGCAAAGTTTGAAAAATGCCTGAAAGCTCCACTTAAGATGTTCATGGGGAAAAAAAAAAAAAAAAAAAAAAAAAAAAGAGGGGGAATATTCCTTTTCTTCTCATACACCTACTGATTTAAGAAATAGATTATATTTGTTAACTGCAGTCAAGTTTGTTATAAAGCAATCTGTGTATCTCTGATCAGCAGTAGGTTTACAGACATATTCTTATGGACACGAAAGTTTCCTGTGTAGATACAAGCTACTGCTTGTGGTTTTGTTGTTTTTCCTAATAGAAAATGCATCCCCAAACAATTTGAATCTGTTCTTCAGAAAATAATAAAAAAAAATACAAACACTACCATTTTAGGAAATAAGTTTCCAGGTTTTCCTTTTTACCTGGAAGTTGACAAAGTGCTGAAATACTGGGACTCACATACACATCTTGCGGAAATCTTCAGTGAAAATTACTTACTTCATATGCTAAATTATTTTCTACTCACACTGGAATAAAGTTACACAATGTAACAGGAGCATAAAGCAGACTACACAGTGCTTTGCCTCTGGCCACTTAATTGACGCTCAAACATGGCTGAAATACAAAGTTTTTAACAGGTCACAGAGCTTAACAGAGAAAAAAGACTACAAGAGTATTCCCTCTTACAATTCAAAATTGCCTCATAGCAGGCCACAAAAGGAAAGCAGCCATCAATCCATCCTTCCCATTTTAAAATGCAAGGATTCACACAAGGATCAAAATAAAAAGAAACAAAGCCACGAGCACTGTGGCTCTATAAACAGTTGCTAAAAAAACACAGCAATCTTACAATATTTTTATTTACTCCTCCTTCAACCTTTCCTCGAGCAGTTGGTCATCGTGAAAGTGTAACATAATAACCAGACAAAAAAAGAGCTTCCCACACTTCAGACCTTTTCCTACTCATCACGGCACAGTTGGTGGGATCACAAACTTTAACAGGAAAAGGCTGTTCTAGAGTCACTCCTGCAACTCACTGCTAAGGAATGCAAGTAGTGTGCTAATCCAGCTGCAGGCTTCAAACAGGAATCCTCCTTCTACTGGGCTGACAACACAGATCAGTGTCTTTGGACATGCCCACACAAAACCACTGTGCTCTTTGCTTTTCTGTTTGAAGGGTTTATATGCAAGAAGACTTAAATACCAAGCAGGAACAGGAAAAATTAGCAGCAATTCCATAGCTACAACAACACAGTTCAAAAAATGAAACAACCCCACAGCCATCAGACCAGTCAAACCACCAAACAAGTAAACTTGTCAAATTTACTTTTGACAAACAAGAACTGAAAATATTCAAGTAGCCTGTCACGATCTTCCTCTTCCCAAGCACTGCAGTACAGCAGACTACAAGAGACTCTGCCCCCCCAGTTTCTCTGCTGTGTTTATCAGAATCCACCAACAATCCTGCTAAAGCTGTGGACACATGCCAGAGAAAGGAAAAATGACTCAGAATGTAACATACAAGAAAAGACTAATGATAATCCAGGATACAGAATAAAAATGAGAGTGGGAAAGCAATTATTCAACAAAAACACTCAACTGAGAAGATACAACAGCATAGCTGGATGCAGGAGAAGACAGCAAGATATAAAGGGGTTCACAGATCCATTTCCAGACTTGACACAGACCAAGATGAAGCAAAGTTTTATTTTTAACTGATAGCATCTCAAATTCCTACTGAAATCAGAATCAGCCTGGTTTCCATTTCATAAACATTTCTATTTCATAAACCATTTTCAGAATATCAAACAGCGACAATGAACAGGTAACTCACCAATTATTTAACAGATATTCATATATGCAATTAAGGTTTCCTTTTTATGTAGTTTAGTTTCCTTTCTGTAAAAAAGGCACACTACATCTATTGACACTTCTTTCAGAATGGACACGTGTTTCAATAACACTCCAATTCTGGCATTACAAACTGTGGAAAGGCAGAATTTACACTCTTGTTTTCACTGCAACTTTGCTGTGTGTCTGAATATGTTATACTTTAAAAAAAACCCAAAATAGTTATGTTCAAAACACTTGGCAATAATTACCATTGAATCAGCCAAATACAAACTCACAGTATAATGCAACTCTGAGAACAACGAAAAACCCTGATATTGAAGTAGGAGAAGGTAGAAAACGGGGCAGGAAAGCAATCCATCAGCCTGAAAATGGTCTTCCATTCTGTCCAAGGTCCACACAATAAAGAGGATTCTGAAGAACTGAAGAGGGTTCAGCAGAAAGCTGAACAAATTGACCAAGGATTGGTTTATTCAAAAGGAAAATCAATATGCTCCACTGTATTCCATGGATTTGAGGCCACAAATGACTATTGATAAGAGAGAAGACAACAAAATCCAGCCATACATAATTGAAGCTAAACAAATTCAGACTGCAAATAGTTTTGTTTTTTTTATTTAACACTGTGACCATAGAGAGAACTCACGGAGCTCTGGATTTTCAACAGAAAACAAGGGGTTTTAATCAAGGTTAAATATTATTATGTTAAAAAAAAATTGCTGTCATAGAGTAAGGCTACGGTTTACCTCAGATTTCAGATGTGGTTATCACACAGAATGGGAGAGTTAAGCATTCTTCTTTTAATTTATATCAATTACACCCCCTTATATACTGACTGTTAAAGCTATAAGGAATCAAAAAAAAAAAAGGGCTATCTCTATCATGGACTAGTTTTGCAAGGAATTGACTGGTTGCAGCTGTGAATGAGAGGCGAGAAGCAGAGAAAGTAAGAAAAGCCACAGGAAAGAGGAACTTGTAGAGAGAAAATGAGTGAGAACTCACTGGAAAGACAGATTTGAAAAGACATTAAACAAAGGAAAACATCATCATGAAAGTTCTTCCTGCGTTCAACAAAATGTATGTTCCTCATATGTCCACTAAGAAATACTATACTCAGTTTTTCCTCCTAACCAAGCAATGCAACGAGGCCATGCAGATTTAGAAGTTTCCCAGATGGCTAAATCTATTCTGCAAACATCTGATAATAAAAAGTAAGAGTCCCGGCCTCTTAAAAGAGGAAGGTCAGATAAGCTGATTGAAACAGACTCCACCTTAAAAGAAAATCTGACCCAAGAGAAGCAAAGATAGCTTGTTTTGCTTTTTAATTGTTCTAAGCATCTTTAGAGCCTATATTAGCACTGTAGATGCACTGAACTCTTGGTGAGAGAAATTCAGGAATTATTACCTATTTTGCACAGCTCTAGGGAAGGTATTACAGCTTCAGACAGTCCGTAGTTTGGCAGGGAGATTCAGGGAAAGTGTCCAGCAGAAACTTCCAGCTCATTGTAAAGTGAATTAGAGTT